TCCATGTTTCCAGCTACCACAATGCTGATTCTGTTTCACCGCTAATTTGTAGTATGTTTTGCCTTCCTTGTAAAAAGAAAAAAAGAAATGTTTTGCTTTTTACCCTGTGAAAGTTCCTGTGCTGTCTATTGCTTGCTTTCTCATTTTCACTGTATTGTACTGTTACTCCTTTCTGCAAAAATGGTGCTAATTGCTGACTGAGCTCCTGTTTTCTGACTGCTTTGCACACCGATCACCTGCTTCTTCATTTGCAACGCGTCCGGTGTGAAAACGTGGCTCCCATGAATTCCACAAACTCTTGCCTCTTGGAGGCAGATAGGAAGTGTCTAATTAATATTTTGTGGCCTGGGTTTGGTTGCGTATCACAGATTGTCTCTTGTAATGTGTTAAGCACACCTCCTCGTGGTGCTTTTTCATTCTTGCTGTTCTAATGAGAATGACACACACACACACACACAAACACACACACACACACAAATTAATGTATAGCCAATTGATTGTGACGTGCTTGTGATCTTTGCTTGCTCAAAGGGTTTTTTTTTTTCCAATGATAAATAAATGCTAAAGACGAATACCACCTCCTTGATCTTGTTTTCTCGATAAGAAGCACAGTTAAGTGAAAGAAACACCCTTCCAACTGTAATCAGGTTTGTGTTGCTTAGAGCAGCCACTTCCATGCCTGCCGTAGGGACAACCGAGCTGTCACAGCCTGACTCCCTTTAGATGGCTGCTAACCTCAGACTAGCCTGACGTGAGAGCTAAGCGTTTGCAAATGTGAAGACGGACAGTGAAGTCGTGTGGACGGAGCAGGTAGTTTGCTTTTATTTTCTGTGCCTACGGCGTGTCGAGCAGAGGGTTGGTGCGGTGAGTGCCCTGCACGCAGGCTGCTGCTGTGCCTTGCTCGTGTCCACACGTTGCGCTGGATCAGGGAGCAGAAACCGAGCCCCGTCGAGAGCTGGAGGGAGGGGAGGTGCTGTGGATGAGGCTGCTTAATTACACGCCCTTTGCCAACTGCCAGCAGCTTTTGCTTTGGCCCAAAACCACCTGAAAGGCCCATGAGAGGGGTCAAGGGGCTATAAATCCTCATTGAAAGGAGGCGGCAAATTCTTGGGTTGAGCACTTTCAGCGTGCTGCAAGCCTAGCCACCGTTGAACAGGCATTTGGCAGTGCCTGTGGAAGTGCAAAGCACTGATTTTATGTTAATGAAAGTGTTTGCTCTCTGGAGAAAATGATGGTTGAGAAGAAAGCAGGGCTGAGGGCACAATTTTATTTTAAATGGTGAACCCTAATCTTAGTTTCACTTCTTTTTTTCTTTTAATTAGCCTGTAAGCTCCTACCTGCAATTTTTATTTTTAATCATGTTTTCTCTTTTAATGGATAACATCCATTGGTAACATCCCCACCAACCTGGGGAAAATTGTCTGCATTGGGGTTGTATTTTGAAATCTCTCCTCCAACATAACTCTGCTGGCTTCCCTGGAGCACCGACCCTTTTCTGCCTTACTGTTTCTGGGTGCTATTTCTCATCCCTGCCTGGTTTACAAATCACTTTCTGAATTTATTCCATCTGTGACTACATGCTAATAACAGTGCTGCTTTCTGATGTCCTGCCGTATCACCCTGCCTTCCCTCTCCCTTCCCCACCAGCTTCATCCATTCATCGATCACGCGTAAC